CAGTGTAGCATGGATAGCCACAACAGCAGCTTACTAAACAGCTCGGGTCACATGCCCGAATGGGCTCAAGCATTTTGGACGCTTGAGTGTCCTTTCAGTTTCTTCTTCCATCAAACATAATTTTTTAAGTGTATGCAACTACATCAACCAACCCTGTGATGTCACTGCTTGGATTACTGCAACATGGCAGCACGTTTAAAAAAAAAAAATTATAAAGCAATGCTTTGTTTTTGTCTTTTACATCTATTTTTTTCATATTTGTAGTATAATTATTGATAATAACACACAATCTTGTGATTTAAGTTACTGAATTTTGTGAGTATCAGCTAAAAAAATAAAGACTATTGGAATCTATTAGCATGGATCTAAAATCTCCAATATAAGGACGCTGCAAAGCCAGTCACAAAAAACACTTTTAAGATAGACTTATATGAGTTCAATCATTTATGTTTGCATGCTTATTTGTTTTCCTCATATTTAGTTTTACTCCAGTGTATCAGTCACACCCCACCCCTCCTTTATAGTTTCATTAGCATGGCATGGGAGTCTTCACAAAGGAATAGTAAGCCAGAATAATGCTAGCTGAGATTTGGGAAAAAAAAAGAGAGATGGAGTTGGTTTCAAAACCGAACATACCAGCTGCACTGTGGGGGCACTTAGGTTTCAAACCGTATGACAATATTATCATTTATTGCAATATTTTCTGATACAGTTTATCATAAAGCAAAATTTGCTATTGTGACAAGCCTGCTGCCAAAAGCATCTTCCCACAATTTAGTCCACCTTAGAGTTTCACACACAGAGCCGAAGTAACCACATCAACAGCTTCTGCTTCTCTACTGCACAAAAAACTTTGTCAGTGTGGCTGTACTCTTTGTTCGAAAAAGATGTTGATGATGAAAAAACCTGTCATGCACAAAATTCTGGTCTTCTAGATTTTTTATCTTATTTTATTCAGTGGTGTAAAATTTTCCTGGTTTATGTAGCCCATTATTTAATAATAAATTAAACAATGAATCAGGTTGACTCATGCTGATATATCTGGACAGTAGCGGTATTTTACATACTCTAAGATGCATACTTTTTTTTTCTTCTTTTTTTAAGAATTTAGTTTAAGTGTGTTTACACGTGTATGTATTTATACATCCAGTGTAGTGGTTGAATGTTAGATATGTATTAGTGTACTGATAATACATGTTCTCAGCTGCTCACCGAGATTTGCTGCGTTTTTGTTCTGTCTTTAGCAGATGTGACGCAGAAGTATTATATGGAATTAAGAAATATGTCTTCGTGTTTTTGACCTGAATACATTTTTCTATAATTGAAGAGTTGAAGTTTGTGTTCTAACCAGAAATGAATAGGATTAATTTTAAAGCAACAGAGCAGTGTGCTTTATGTGAATGAAATCATGTAAGCATAAGTTTAATTCACACAGCTGCAGGAAACCCTTTTAAAGATTGGACAACGCTGATGTGAGGCTGGGTGTAAAAGTTGATTTGAAGACCTCTGGTTTAGATCAAAGCTTCTCTGTGTGTTAAAAATGCTTTAGAAATTTTACCTTAAATTATTTTAAGAAGCATCCTTTTCATTTTACATCTCTATAAAGCGATACCTTTTTTGGTCTATGATGAAAGGCAAACAAACAACAAAATAAACAGAAATAGTAAGGTTTGCTGGTGCAATGTTAAAAAAAAAACAACTTGAGAAAGCTTAAGACGTTCATTCTTTTACAAGTCTCTATGAAAGTGAGGGAAAAACCTGAAAAGTACAATATATTCTCCTTTATCTGAATAAAAAATTACTGTCAGCATTTAAACGGCCTTTCTGTAAATATTTTAATCAATTTGTTTTGATATTAAGTGCCCTACAAAATGTTTATCTTATCAAGGCATTGGGGAAAAAATGTGATGATTGTTAAATTCAATGAGAAATAGGCCTCATGTGTATGGCTGAATTTGTAAGCCTTAACTCATAATCCAGATGTGAAAAGAAGAGCATCTCAGCATAAACCAGACACAGCAAGGAGCCCATGGTACGATTTGACAGGAGAGTCATTCAAGGGTGAAGAAGGACTTACAGACAGCTTTAGAAAGATCTGAAAATATAATAATGCCATAATGCAAGGTGGATAAATGGAGAAACAAGGACATTTTTAATAAGAATGTGAAGATAAAACAAGTGTGACAGTAATCCCCAGCACAGACGGTGAAATTATTAACAGGTCTCAGAGAAAGAAAGAAAAACTGCTTAAAAAGTAGGTGTAAGAAAAAAAAAAAAGCTTCATTTGTAGGGTAATTTTCTCAGATCTCTTTGTATGTGTGTACATCTGGTGAGACAGTTGGGAAATATATTGTGTTCAGTCGCTATTCAAGCCTTTTATATCAAATATGTCACATCTAGCTAATGAGGTAAATTGTTCTCCCTAGTGCTTCCTGGTGTGATCGGTTTGTCTCAGAAGTTTGAACTTAACCAGGAAAGGCTTTTAGAACCAAGTTGAAGTATTTGCAATTCAATATGCTTAATTAACCAGTGTGCTGCTTTTGTTTTTTTTTTAATCTGAGCTCTGCAATTGTTTTGCTGAGTTGCAACATCAGCAACACCATGTATATTTTAATGCTCTGAACTTCCATATAATGCGTTTATCTGCACCATGTTTTTTCTCCCACACGGTTTACATTTGATCACTTTAAGAAATGGAAATGTCATGAGGGCTGTACGAAATGGAACAATAAAAGTTGACTAAGTCTAAGTCTAAAAGTTTATTACGCATAACTTAATTTCTGGACATCTATGGTTTGGGATTGCATGGATTCAACTGCATGGAGTCAATGGCACATCTAGAAATATATTTACTCAGAAAAATGGTGGCAATACTTATTTCACCCGCTGTATGTTTCCATATTGTTTGAACTCATCAAACATGAAGAAAGGCATATACTGCAATATATTTTATTTGGGTTCCTACTAGCTAATCCACCACAGCAAACTTCACGGCCATTCTGAACCTTCTTTACTATGACATTATTCCCCGCTCCAACTTCATAGCTTCAAAAATAGAATGCTGTAATTATTATTTTTTTTTTAAGGAACACAAGTTGATATGGTAGGATGACCAGATGTCCTTGATTTCGAGGACAGTCCCCGTTTTGGACCACCTGTCCTCGGCTAAAGCTGTCCCCAGAAATGTCCCAGATTTTACCGTTTAATGAATGAAGGGGAAAATGTTGCATGTAAACTGTTATTATGGCAGAAAGAGCATGCAAGCATGCTGTACACAGAAACAGCTGTTAACGTATAAATGAGGAGCAGAGTGCAACAGTTTTAAAACAGACGATGTGGTTTGTTATCAGGTTCGTTATCGTTTTTTGTGGATTTTTGTAGCAGGGATAATTAGGATCATATAATCTTTATTTATTTACCTCCTATTAAAATAATAACAGCTTATTTAAAACAAAAAGATCAGCCGTATCTATGTACACATGAATAGAAAATAGCTTTATGATTGTAAAAATTATATTTCTATTAGGTTTCACTGTAACTTTATTTAAGGACAGTTTATTTTTATTCTGGCCCTGAGAGCTTATTTTTCATTTATCTAAACGTGCAATGACACAAAATTTATTTTTGGTGTGGCTGCTTCAAGCCGCTCATGAGAATGATCTAGATTTATCGACATGTTTTAATGGTTGTAATTTAATCTGAATATAAAAATCTAACGTAACTTTTTTAATAGTGACACAGATTTTAATCCAGGCTGCTGGAGGCCCCCCAATGCACTGCAGCTGTCCGGGATACAATATGGACGCCCTTTCATTTTATAGTGATCATTGTTTAGAGAAATTTGTTTTTTTTTTTAAGAAAAAAGAAAAAAAATCTGTTTTCAATTTGTATATATATAAAAAAAATTTCATTTCCACAGACTCTGTGGAACTATTCTTTCCCTGAACACAGTGTTGCTCACAAGGGAAGAAGAGAGAGAAGACTGAATATCTCTAATAGGCTATACACTATTAATGAATTAATATTATTTATTTTAGGAAATGGAAGAAGCGCATTCCTGGATTTCACACAGGGTTTTTGTCTAAATATGTAAAAATGGATGAAAAAAGTCACTGTCCCTGTTTCCTATTTTAATTTTCATAAAATCTATCTATTTTTATCTATGAGCTGGAAACGTCCCCAGATTAGATTGCAGAAATCTGGTCACCTTATGACATGGATCAATTTATCTAAGTTTTGTTTGAACTTTAAACTTCTCCCATTTGTGTTCATGCCTGTGTTTGAAAAGTAACCTGTTCCTAAGTAGAATTTGTAACCCACTATCACTGTGTTCTCCATGTTTCACACTTATTAGTCAGAAAAACAACACCTCCCACTTAAATTGGACTTTTCATTGGGAAAGTCAGAGCTTACCAAGCAACACCGAGTTCAGTATCCAGTTTGGCTATCATATATAGATAATTTTTGTTAGCACCATGTCAAAGGGCAAATTTCACCATTTCCAACCTACAATTGGACAGCTTGGGTGTCATAATAAGTTACATTCTCCAACTTCTTTGATAAATCAAACACAGTATGTTTATATGTTAATATTACTTTATTTTGCAAATGTTTTTGATGTTTTTGTGAGAGTTGTCATTTTGGATGCTGACAGCTGGATTTCTTAGTAAATATTAATAAAATATATAAAAATATACCATTATTTCCATATTAGCAAGCTGCTAGTAGCAGAACATAAAGTATTTGTGTGTCTTTTTAATTGTATTTATTTTGGTACAGGTTTTACTTTAATATAAAGACAATTTAATGTGTTATTTATTATTATAATAAACATTGGAGGATCACATAACTGCTGTCTATGTAGAGGAATAAAAACTACAAATCCCGACTACTCCACCAGACTAGCGTATTTGTCATCCGAGCATCTGATTGGCTGTTCTGTAAAAAAGTCTGTCGTGATTGGTTGAAGGTGGCCATGTTTGTGTGTCCAGCTGGTGAGTGCGGAGTAGCGGAGCTGGCTAACCCGGGGCTAGCAGTCTGACCAGCATTTCCCCTCTTTCTTGGAGGGGGGTTAAACGTGAAGATACGGCCGTGCTGCGCCGTCCACCCCGGCTGTTCTGATAGCTGCCATGCCGGTGCACTCACGGGACAAAAAAGAAAGCAACCACGAAGAAATGGAGGTGGACTTTCCCGAGCAAGACGGCAGCAGCACAGACGAGGAGGACACGGTTAGCTCGTCCGTGTCTGAAGATGGAGACAGCTCAGGTAGGAGAACCAGGCCCTAAACAGCAACATTCACTGACATTAGTAGGACAAATGGAGACATAGCTGAACAAAGCAGGAGCTGGATAAATACTATAAGGTTTAGGCGGGGTTTAATAAAAAAAAAACAAAAACATTTATATAAAGGTGATGTCAAACCTGTGAAGCGTTTATGTTTACAGAGATGGATGATGAGGACTGCGAGAGGAGGAGGATGGAGTGTCTTGATGAGATGACAACGCTTGAAAAACAATTCACGGACTTGAAGGAGCAGTAAGTTATTACATGTTAATAAATAGATCCTTCACCTACTGTGATGGGATAAAAACAGTCAGTCTGATGTCCTTATACATTAGTTTCCTCATAAATAGCATCAAAAAACATTCATCAAAAGACTCCCCTGTGTACTATTTTGGTTGTGTTCTAAGATGTTTGTTGCAGACCTTTACTGAATAAATTGGATCAGAAAAGATAACAGGTCAAAGATAAATGGCACTCTTCAAATACTGCATCACCTTTATGGAAGGATGGAAAAATATACCCTTTCCTGCACCACCACAGATCTGTGCAGCGTCCAGATACAGGAGCAGCAATACGATCAGTCTGATGATCTACCGCTCCAATCTCCTCTAACTGGTGAAGGAGGCAGTTTGGCATGTATTCCCTAAGCCTCCATCTAGCCAGTCAGAGGAAAATGAATTGGAGTCAAAGAGTGTTCCGCCCTGGATGAAAACCTTTAAAACACCTGAGATTGGTGGCTGTGTTCACCTTCCAGCAGGATACAATAAATGCAGAGCCAGAGCTACTATCCCATAATTGAGTTTAGATCAAAGCAGGGTTATATGTTAGAACGGTCTAGTCAAAGTTCCCCCCTAAATTCTTGTTTCTCTCTAGATGGGAGAACCTGAAAGAGAAGCATGTTTCCAACAGTGCGTTAGATATGTGAAAATGACTGTAATCAGGATGCTGTGCTTTCTGTCAGTCAACATTACAGCAGCAGAGATTATGTTGAAAACTATACTGTTTATTTACTTAAAAACAGGAGAAAACGGTCTGTTTGGAGAGTTTGAGTCAATGTGTGCAGGCATGTGTCATTTTTTTGGGTGTGTATATCTAGGATAAGTGTTTCCCCCTATCATTAACCAAGTGGGGCGCCCTGCTAGCATGTTTCTGAGCTTCATACTGTCTCCAACAGAGACTTGGGCTCAGTCACATGTGCTCCCATCAGCAGACAGAGAGCGGAACCATTGATGTCAGGGGTGGAACGGCCATAGGGAGGTTCTGGATTCCCAAACAGCTACTCTGTAAAGCTAAACCTGCCAATATTCCAACATAGGCATAAGAACCAAAGAAATTAGAGTGGGCTACGTTAGCAAAGCTGCTAAAAAAGAAATAATAAAGTGATGGCTGGAGCAGAGGAGATGAATAAAGGTCCATTTTTAATTGTTTCAATTTATGCTGTCATAAAAACCTATAAAAAACCTGCAAACCTAAGTCTAAAAAGCCCAGCTAATTCCTGTGTATTGCAGTTACATTGTGTCACCTTTCACCTCCAGTTATGCACCAGGCTGACAAGCACTGACACTAGAGTTTGTGATTGTGAAATAACAAAGCATGTGGTATGATTACATTTCAAGGAGGCTGGACTTTTAAATCGGCTTGTTTTCTGCTTCTCAGGCTGTATAAGGAGCGTCTGAGCCAGGTGGAGATAAAGCTGCAGGAGGTGATGGCTGGCTGTGCCCAGGAGTACCTGGAACCACTGGCCAACCTGCAAGAGAACATGCAGATTAGAACTAAAGTAGCTGGTGAGTTGAAGGGAGGTTTCCCTTCAGAGGTAGTAAACCTCAAACAGTTTTACCAGATTCTCGCTGTATCTCAACAGGGATCTATAAAGATTTGTGCCTGGAGTCGGTGAGGAACAAACATGATTGTGAAATCCAAGCTGCTTGCCAGCACTGGGAGGTGAGAGGACAAAAAAAACCCCACTGAAAACAAGTGGAAAATAACAGAACATGTCAATAGCCTGGTAGGATCAGGCCTGGAAGGTGTTTTTTTGGGGGAAAATTTATAAAATCCTGCCCTGTGTGTCTTTCAGAGTGAGAAGTTGCTGCTTTTTGACACTGTGCAAAGTGAGCTGGAGGAGAAGATAAGGAGATTAGAGGAGGACCGGCATAGTATTGACATTACCTCAGGTAATAGCCGGAGCAAACCCTGGGTAGGGTTGTCTGGTGAACAATTTCTAAGTGGATTTAAATCTTTGTTTCAAATTCAGTTTCAACTGCATCATCTGCAACATGTTGAAACCCCTGAGCAATGATTGATTCTAGACCTTTGGTTGCCGTTGTGTGGATGAATGTGTGTGGATGTGGCTCTAGTCTGCAGCCTTTATAAGCAGTCAGTGGGACTAAATAAGCTTTATATCTTCTCACTGTGAACAATGTAAAAATGGCTATTTGTCCATCCTGGTGGTCAATGATGTAAAGAAACGCCCCCCTGTGTCACATTCTGTTTATACCCCAGGAAAGGAGAGAGCCATAAAATACCTGTTAGTGGTTCCTTAGAAACTCAGACCAACTATAATATAATTGTTCCACCGATGATTATCTAAAAAAAGTCATTTCTCATTTGTTTTTGTTGTTTTTTTTTGTTTTGTTTTGTTTTTATAGATACAAAATTAAACTCAGATTTAATGGTAGAATTTTTCAGGAGCCTGAGGTTATTATGCTGAAATACTAGATGAAATTAATTTCAAGGCTTTTTAAATTTTACAGATCAACCTAATAGTCAACTGAAAGCTGCTTGATTTAAGTTGATCTTGAACTGGAAAGGTCTTTTTCTGGCCTTGGTCTGTAAATGTTTGGGTCCCTGCTAGGCCTGCAACTAACAGTTATTGTGCAAATCGATTAATCTTTTGATTGCTTTTTCGATTAATTATTGGATAGCAAAAGGTTCCTAAATGAAGACTTTGATTAAATTAAACCAGGTGAAATTAAAACTTTTCCACTTGAGGAGTTCTGGATAGAGCATATTGACAGATCTTAAATGGAAAATGTTAACATATATTTTTTTTTTTTTTACAGTTTTGATATAACTGCTGCTCAAGGTTGCTTGCTAAAGACAAAGTCGACTAAAGACATGTTTTACAGTCTCTATATTCCAGTTAAAGATTAATCCAATACTAAAGGAGTTGACAATTAAATCAATAATCAATTAATCAGGATTAATCTGATTAATTATTTCAGTCCTAGTCCCTGCAGCTAACAGGTTCTGGTTTGCAGTGATTCTGTAAAATGTTAAAGATCTGAAGTCAGTAGAAACTGCCTCTGTTCTGAGCAGCTGTGTAGAAGAAGTCTTTCTTACTTAAACTAACCTGAACATGAGTGCTTTTATTACCCTAAAACTTGTTAACCTTAAATAAAATCTTATGAAGAAAGAAGACTCTCAGCTAGTTTCTTATCTCTGCCCTCTTTGTCCTCCAGAGTTGTGGAACGATGGACTGCAGGCTCGGAAGAACAAGAAAAAAGATCCATTCTGTCCTGTGAAGAAGAAGAAACCCGTCGTCGTGTCTGATATCCTTTCACTCCATGCGCTCCATCAGTTATTCTCATTTGAAGACGGAGCGATACTTTCCTTAGCTTCACCTTTTCTACGACCTTATATTGTTTACATGCTACAAGACCTGGATATTCTTGAAGACTGGACCGCCATAAGAAAGGTAAGGGTTTAAAATCAGATAACTTTTCCCATCGTTGGTTTTCAGTCTGACCCTTCATGTTGGATTAACTCTCAATACCCCTGATAGGCGATGGCTTCTTTGGCGCCGCACCGGGTGAAGGTGGATGGTAAGAGTTTTCCCTCTTCCTCGGTTACAGTCGATACCTGGCAGAGCTCAGACATCGACCCAAACTGAAAGGATCGGGTCAATACTCTGCTCTTTTTTCCTTTTTGTTCTGCTGAGAAGTCCCTGCGGTGAAAGCGGACAGACATCACCACGTGGCGCGCTCTGAGGAAGGTCGACTTTTCTACGACAACCAGTGGTACTGCCGAGGTCAGACCATCTGCATCAACAGGAAGGACGAGTTTCCAACCAGGTATGATGGGAGGAAAGTTTTTGGATCTTTGGACTAAAAACCCACATTAACTTAATCAAATCTGCATTCCCTCCATCTGGCTCAGGTGTAGCTCCTCTAGAAAAGGTGAGACTCATCCTGCCAGCGCTGAAGAGAAAACAGCCATTGGTCCCCATCTTTGATCTTTTGATTTAAGGCTCTTTATGTCCAGCATTTCTGAGTCTCCTACAGCAGCGCAGGTGGAGCAGCTGAATGAAGATAAGCTAATCTCACTGGAAACAGACAGAAGGAGCTTTGTCATTATCAGTAATCAGAAAGCAATGATTAATATTAAAGAAGGAGACAACCTTAAATAGCTGAGAGGCACCAATCTAAATTCTTTAACGAATTACCCAATCTATTTTATAATTCAGCAAAATATGGAGTTCTATTTTAAGTATCATTTTTTATTCATCTATAAGAGCGACATAGATTTCTGTCATAATTAGTGATTATTTGTAATAAGAGGAATCAAATTCTTACTGCTTTTTTAAGACTCTAAAGATAGAATTTGACAAGTACTTTAAAACATGAAAGTTTTTACAAAATTTACATTTTGGAG